CGCCAGGCGCGCGGGGACTGCGGGGCCGGGGGCGCCCAGACTCGCGGCCAGCCGGCCCTCCGGCCGGTGCGCGTCGGGGCCGCTCCGTGCCTGTTTCCTCGCCTGGAAAACGGGGCTGCCAGCGGGGGGAAAGCGGGTGCTGCAGGCACGGGGTTTGCACATAGTGGGCGCCCCCTAAGTACCGGGGACTTCCTCTCCGGGCACAGTGAGGGCCCCGCCCCCAGGTGGGGACGGGCTGGGTCAGGGGACGGGTCCTCCGACGCGGGACCCGCGGGGCCTGAGGTCCGGGACGCGCTGGCGGCGGGCGCAGGGCGCTGCCTGGGCGCACGTGGGGCATGTTCCTGCCCCGGAGTCCCCGCCCCCGCTAAGAATAGCTCGGGAAAGCTGAAGCCCCGAGACAACTGTCCGGCCGGTGTCAGAGCGGAGGGGTGCCGAGGCGCCCCAGGTCTCTCAGGGCTGGGCCTGCGGCCTCTGGGCCTCCGTGTTTCCACCTGGCGAGTGGGCACATCTCGTGTCCCATGAGATTGGGACTTTTCCCGTTGGGGGTTTTCTCTCTGCCTCCTCTGTGGCCCAGTGGGGACCAGACCCCACCATGTTCCAGGTGGCGGCCTCGAACCCTCCCTTGCCCTTCTCTAGTGAACTTCACTGGGGGGTGGGGGAAGTAACCGAATCAAGAGATAAGCACCACCAGTGCAAATAGCGAGGGCCAGGGCTCAAAGTCCAAGGTCTGACCTCCCCCTGGGGCCGGGCCCCAAAGCCACTCTCCTTGGCTGGTCACCCTCTCTGGCCGCTGGCCAGGACCCATGCTGTTCCCTCTCAGGGCTACTGTGTTCCCTCCCACTGCCCGCCCGTGTCCTGACGTGCTCTCCAGGCCTGGTAGCAAATGTTTCTCTCTGCCCAGGCCCCGCCCCTGTGCCCCCTACTCCAGGCAGCCTCCCCAGCCCCCGCCTGGCGTGTGATGCCCGGGCCCTTTGTCTGCCCAGGGGGCCGGGTCCTGGAGGTGGGCTTCGGCATGGCCATCGCAGCCTCCAGGCTGCAGGAGGCCCCCATTGAGGAGCACTGGATCATCGAGTGCAATGACGGCGTCTTCCAGCGGCTCCAGGACTGGGCCCCGCGGCAGCCACACAAGGTGCCCGCCTCTGCCTGCACGTCCCCCCCGTCAGCCTGGCTCCTGGAAGCCAAGGCCCTGCCCCCGGCGGGGTTGGGGGCTTGGGGCGCAGCAGAGGTAGGGAAGGCAGTCTTCTCCCCGGGAGTTCCTCTGCTCCTTCCTGGCAGCAGATGGGGAAATCCTAGGGGCCTCTCTGACCCTCAGCCTTCTTTTTTCCTCCCCTGCCCCAAGGTGGTTCCCTTGAAAGGCATGTGGGAGGAGGTGGCGCCCACCCTGCCAGACAGTCACTTTGATGGTAAGGGGGCCTGGGAGCGGGGGGTGGGGGGGGCCTCTGCCTGGATTCCCACCATTAGCCCGTCCTTGGCAGAGGAACCTTCTAACCCACACTGATGTGTCACCTGAGGTGACAGCCTGTGTGGGGCGGCCTGGCTCTCAGGACTGTGGTTAATCCCTGAAGGAGCCGCTGGGTGGGGCACAACTCCTAGAGGAGGCGGCAGCACAGGGAGCTCAGAGCAGCCTCTGGGGTCTTGGGCCACCGGGTGGGCCCGAATCCCACCCCCACCTGCAGCCATGGTCTCGGTGGGCCTGCGCCCAGCCCCGACCGTGTGGCTGCCGCCCTCTGCGCAGGGATCCTGTATGACACATACCCGCTGTCCGAGGAGAAGTGGCACACGCACCAGTTCGACTTCATCAAGGTAGGACTGGACTGCGCGTGGCGTGGGGGATCCGGCAGAGCGGGGGCGCTGCCATCCACACGCGGGGCACCTCTCCCCGCACCGTGCCTCTGACCGCTCCCCGGACCTCCCTCCTGACCACTGTCCCCCCCCAGGCCCACGCCTTCCGCCTGCTGAAGCCGGGGGGCGTGCTCACCTACTGCAACCTCACGTCCTGGGGGGAGCTGATGAAGTCCCAGTACACAGACATCACCACCATGTTTGAGGTGCGCCGCCCCGCCCACCCCGGGCGACCCGGGCTCGCCTGTGACCTGGGGCGGTCCGGGGCTGATCTAGGGTGGCCGCTGAGCCTCCACTGGGGAACCAGGCAGGGTCCCTCCCGTGTCCTCGGGATCCAGGGACATGGCCAGCTGTGAGCTCCCCACCCCTCACCCTGCGTCCTCGCCCC